AAGTTCCTAAGTTTATGTCTATTTCGCATTTTCACAATATGTCTGTGTGAGACTGAAGTGTAAATGAAATCATTATTTCCTCTAAATTCCTAACACTCCAAGAAGACTCCTTGGTTTTATTGCCTCTAGCAAATTAGGAGTGTGTGTCACTCAAGGATGAAGCCTGCCTGTAGGGATGCTGCTTTAGCCTTGCTACCCTAAGTTATTCCACTTCAGCAAATCAACATACATCCCTCACTTTGGTAGACATGCTTAACATCCAATTCAAGAGGCCAATGCATCCAGTTATATTTGGATGTGCTTTGTCTACTATTACTCTCAATTGTTGTCTACTAAGTTGCTCCTTGACTCAAAGTTCAATGGAATAAGTTCTTAGAGACTGAAATTAAGAAAACAGTTGTTTTATTAGATAATGAGAAGTATACACTACAATGCTTCCATCCACCCATCAGCTCTAGACTTCCTAAAGTCAAAGGTGGAAAGGAGAAGCAGAAAAGATTAGCTTATGAAATGCTTGGTAAGATATAATACCACAACAGAGAAAGTAAATGTCTCCATTTGCTTGTAAGTTGTCAGTTCTCAGTAGAACATTATTTTTAAATAAAAGGCATTTTTTTTCTGCAATGAATATAAGGATGCAGATATCTTTTGGTGTTAGTGTTTTCACTTCCTTCAGATAAATACACAGAAGTGGAGTCGCTGGATCATTTGGTAGTTTTATTTTTTGAGGAACTTCCATACTGTTTTCCATAAGGGCCACAGCAATTTACACTCCCACCAGCAGTGTGCTAGGGTTCCCTTTTCTCCATATCCTCACCAACAATTGTTATTTCCATTTGTTATAGCCATTCTAACAGGTATGAGGGAATATTTCACTGTGGTTTTGGTTTATATTTCCCTGATGATTAATGATGCTGAGTACATTGTCATGTACCTGTTGGCCATCTGTATGTCATCTTTGAAAAAATATTCAGATCTTCTGTTTTAAATGATATATATACATATATATATATTTAATATTGAGTTAAAGAAGTTGAAAGATATATATTTTTATAAAATATGTTTTAAAAATGCTTGGCCTTTTGTATAACACTCATTGCTTGGGCTCCATCTCCCAGCATTTGTGTGCACCCCCGTCCCTAATTTAAGGATTATGACTATGACTGAACCTTGGCTCTAGTCCTATCACTACAAACAGCATATTTGGTAAGTGTTCTCCAGGCTTTACAGTTATTTAAAATGGGAGGATAAGTTGAATACCAGCTAGTCATTGTGGCTGAAACCATAAATTTGTTTTTTGATTTTGGATCAACACAAGTAAAAACTTGAGTAACTTTTAAATTTTCATTTATTGGTAGACTTTTGACAAAGAAAAACCTCAGGAGTAACTTTATAAACATCTCATTGATTCTTCTGAGGACATATCAGTTTAATATCTTATTAGAAAACTATCATTGACTTCAATCACCACATTGAATGATTATTATAAAATAAAGACTAATACAAGTACACGGGTGGCTCAGTTGGTTAAGCATCCAACTGTCGATTTCGGTTCATGTCATGATTCCACAGTCAAGGGATTGAGCTCCACGCTCAACATGGAATCTGCTTGGGATTCTCTCTCTCCCTTCCTCTCTGCCCCTCCCCCACTTGCACTTATTCTCATGCTCTCTCTTTCAAAAATTAATAAACATTTTAAAAAAGACTAATAGACCAAAATAAGCCTAAGTGATAATTATTCCTAAAGGCTTCCATATAATTCGGTTTTTAAAAATTCAGAGTCTACTTGAATGCTGAGAACAAACTGAGGACTGATGGGTGTGTGGGGGGAGGGAGGAGATGGGCATGGAGGAGGAGGGCCCTTGTGGGGATGAGCACTGGGTGTTATATGGAAACCAACCTGACAATAAACTATTTGTAAAAAAAAAAAAAAAAAAAAAAAAAAATTCAGAGTCTATTGTCCTATATAAATAATGTTGAGCTTGGCAAGTTTATTGTACCAAAAGTTAATTTATATTTAATAGACCACTGTTAGGAGATATTATAAAGATATCTTTGAAACACTGATGTCCAGTGTGCCAACCAGAAGTTAAAAACTTCCAAAAAAACACTGGGGCTTCCATGGGGCACTGGGGTGGCTCAGCTGGCTAAATGTCTGACTCTTGATTTTTACTCAGGTCATGATCTCCAGGTTCATGAGTTCAAGCCCCACATCAGGCAGAGCCTGCTTGAGATTCTCTCTTTCCTTCTCTCTCTGGCTCTCCCCCATTTGCACTTTCCCTCCCTCTCTGTCTCTTTTAAAATAAATAAATAAACTTAAAATTTTTCTATTCACTACCCTCCAATTAGATTCCATTTGGGGGAGAGAATCCTCCCACTGACTAATTCATATACCTTCTTATCCACCCAATAACAGAGAAATTATCCTCTTCACCTTGGTGATTTGTAGAGAAATCCTCCCTTGTATATCTTGCTTACTTCCTAAAACAATCTTAGGCATCTTGAAATAAAGTCACAAATGCAAGATAATCATTTAAATATGGATCAAAGAAGAAGTACTTTTAAGAAACATCACCAATAGGATATATATGTAAAGAAATACAAACATCCTTTTAGCAAATGACCCTGACTTGTACTGTTGAAGCATTTAGATGAGAAAATTGCTTAGAAATATAGTAACAGATAGCACTTCCATTATACTGATATTGACTCGACCTTAGATGTTTCAAGAGCCATAAGCTTCAGCCCCTATATATTTCTTAATTTTAAATTCTCCCCAGTTGGGTGTGTGCTTGTGATCTGAAAGAATCTATTACTTTCCTATCCCTTTTGGGAAGCTTTTTGTGTGTGTGTCTATATCTATGCAAATATCACATCTATATGGATGGGTAGGTCACATGGAGTGGGGCAAAAGATGATAGCTATTACAATGTATTTTCCTTGTGGTGTCCCAGCCTTGGAGTACCTAAACTGGGGTTGTAAATACTATGTGGACACATGTTACATTAGCATGTCCAGTGCAGAGCCAATACCTATAATCAGAGTTCTATGATCTCATTGATAACCAAGACAGAAAACCAATTTTCTGTTTCAATATGAATCCCAAATTGTCATTTTGAGGGTCACATCAAAATAGCTTATAGGCTATATACAAAATATATTCAAAACAATATTTTTTAATCTTCTTTTTACAGTTTTTTTTTAACATTTTCCCCAAAGCATGTATCTATCTATAAGGCAGCCCCAGCTAGGACCCTGTAAGTAAAATGAGTGACGACTTGCTAGAAGAGGGGAAATTTCTGAGACATTTCCCAAAAGTGGAAGTGAGTTCTCTATCTTGGCCAGAAAGAGTTCTGGTTCTCAATGTTTTCTACAGGGAAAACAATCATAATAGGACACTTGGGTTGAATATTTTAGATGGTAAAGACTAAGCAAGTATGTGAACCACCAATCAGTGTGTGCACAACCTTGACCACTCATTCAAAGAAAAAAGCTTGGTTTTTTCACCTCAAATGAGGTCTCTGAGGTCCCTTCCAGCCGTAACTTCTCACATTCAAAACTTGAATCTATGTACTCAATATACATATTCTTAGGTGAATTCATGTTTCAGGTATTATGTGAAAGATTAAGAACAATGGCTTGGTGGGGCACCTGGGTGGCTCAGTTGGTTAAGTGTACAACTTCAGCTCAGGTCATGATCTCACGGTTGGTGGGTTCGAGCCCTGCGTCAGGCTCTGTGCTGACAGCTCAGAGCCTGGAGCCTGCTTCAGATTCTGTGTCTCCTTCTCTCTCTTACCCTCCCCTGCATCTGCTCTCTCTCTCTCTCTTTCTCTCTCTCTCTCTTTCTCTCTCTCAGAAATAAATAAAAAACATTAAAAAAAAAAAAAAAGAACAATGGCTTGGTTTTTTTGGCGTAAATATGTAAAGTTATCTCATTTCATACTTGGCCAAATAAGTCTCATCTCTCCACTCAAACACGTATGTGCATGTATGTACACACACTCAGACATATATGCACATGTATACAATAATATCTGCATCAGTAATAATCATGACTAGATTATAACACACGAATATTAAGGTATTCCAATGTATAAGCAGCTTAATTATAAACATGACTAAGGAGAAAATCAGTACACAATAGCACAATGAGCTAAAATTATTGGGGGGTTTTGATGACTCACAAAGAAATAACTAATTAAAAATAAAAGTTGGCTGCGGATATGTTTCTTAAAATCTGATGAGATATATACTTAGGATTTATGTACTCTCCTATTATCTATTTCAGTATAAAGTTTAAACATTCTGTAAATGCTGGAAATCAGGCTCCATCTTAATTACACCAATCATTAATAAGACTTCTGTTCATAGGCCATTGAAATATCAACTGCATCACAAAAATATTATTTAAAGAACCCATAACATTCATATTTGGATAGTTGTGAGAAGGCTATAGATAATGCAGTAAAGCAATGAAATCACTCACTTTCTACTGGTAATTAGGTTTCATATGCAAAATAATGCTGAGAAGCTTAGGGTGTCTCTGTGGAAACATGAACATAAAGAAGTTGCAAAGACTTCCACAAAAAAATCCTCATCATAGATCCTATTACAGTTACTGCCACACTTTATCTTAACTAAAATGATTGTGTTTGGTGCTAACTCAAGCAAGAAAAAATTTAAAGTTTAAAACACTTTGGGCTGGACCCCTAGCAAATTAAAAAGCGTTTCTGTTGGGGGTTTCTCTTTTAAAGGAGGCTTGGAGAAGGGGAAGGACCCATAAGTAATGTCTCAAGCCCTGCTTCTAGGCTCTGCAGGTCATTCCACCAGAAGTAATGACTCATATTATTATCTGTAGAGAACATGGACAGTGGAAAATCATGCCCACATACTTTTGAGTCAAGTGGAGGGGCGGTAGAATATACAAATCGGAAGTTCCTGTAAGTACACGCTACTTAAAACTGCAGATATAGGATACATTCAGTGTGGGTCTAACATACCCATTTCTCAGGTTCCTTTGGCCACTGAGGTCCAGATCAGTTTGGGGACTTGAGGTCATCTCTGCAGCCATCAGCAGGGGTGCTATTATCCCAACTAGTGAAAGGAATCTTCATCCTCTCTAAGTGTAGAGAAGCAGCTGCTTTGGATAGTCCTGCAAATGGCTATAGGAAACAAGAAGTGAGACCAATGGGCTTGATGTCCTGAAAGTGAGTTAATACCACACAGGCTTGAAGTCTAAAGTGTCTCTTCCTGGCTAGTGAAAGGTCCAGGGAGATGTTCTTTGGTGGCTCTTTTATTTTCTGTATGTGCATGCAGGAAGTATAATATGCATGCTAGGGATTCTTGTAAGTAGAATGAGTTTGCAGATGTTGTGACAATATAACAACTTTTATTGTGCTTTCCCTAATCGTGAGGGGCAGTTATCTATTATTATGCATAACATACAGATAAGAAAACTGAGGGTAAGTAAAATTAAGTGACTCACCAAATACCACAAGCCACCAAAAAAAGAAACCAATTTAAACAATGATGAATTTGCATCGTACAGGGTTTCATATACATAGCACAATGGTCTTTCAAGTTAGAAATTAGAGGACCTTCAATGCAGAGCCAAAGAACTGAAACTTTATCTTGAAAGCAATGGGAATGCACTTTGACAAGGAAAGCGACTTGGCCGTGTTTAATGGAGATTCGTTCTATAGTAAAGAACAAGATTGGCAGGGAGAAACTACAATCTATATAAACAACAATAACAACAAACTGGCAAGTAATGCTGTTTGAGCAGTTACTATGTTTCAAAATCTCCACTATGGACATTACTTGTAGAGCCTCCATGTAAGCTAAAAGAGAAGTAATATTATTAGCTCCAGCATATGAATAAAAATATCATTGGCAGAGAAAGGCTTTGTAAGATTACCTGTAACTAAGTAACAAAACCTGGATTCAAAGCCATATCTACAGCTTTCTAGTGGTCATGTTCTAATCTCCATGGTGTATTCCTGGGAAGCAGAAATGAAGCTGACACTGAGTAGCAACCACTCTAAGTCAAGGCACCATGATCATCTGCCTTGACTCCTCCAAGAACTTACTGCTACTGTTTCTGTTTTTACCTGCTATGTCAGCTAGGTATGGCTGCATAACAAACAATCCCACCTTTTGGCTGCTTAAAATGGTAAATATCATCTCAGTTTCTGAGAATCAGGAGGCCGGGAGCCATTAAACTGGCTTGTTCTGACTTTGAGTTGTCAGGATGTTGTCAGGGGCTATAATCATCTGAAAGCTTGCATGGGGCTGGAGGATGTGCTCCCAATTTGGCCCACTCACACAACTCTTGGCAGAAAGTGCTCGGTTTCTTACCAGAAGGTCTTAGTTCCCCACAATATGGCAGCTGGTTTCCTCCAGAGCAAGTGATTAAAGCAGGGGTAGTAAAGGTCACATTGTCTTTTTTGACCTAGTCTTAGAAGTTTTATATCATCACATCTATCATATCCTATTTAAAAGGAGTATGTCAGTAAGACCTTCCCATATCCAAGGGAAAAAAAATTAAGCTCCATTTCCTGAAGCAAGACATAACAAAGACTTTGTAAACATATTTTAAAACCACCACTTTCCTCTTTAATAGATTCTATATACGCAGTCATTATCTTTTGCAAACATCTCTTTTTACATCTCTATTTACATCTCTATTTTTATTAAACTTTCAATGGTATCTCAACAATTTGAAGATAAAACCCAATATCACAAAAGTCACTTGATGTGGCCAGTGCTCACCACCCCCAAATGTCATCTCCCATTTCTCCCTAACTTTCTGTCCTCTGGCCACACTCTCTTGCTTTCAGTTCCTCCACTATGCCAAATTCCTCTTGGCTCAGGACCTTTGCTTATGCTGTTCCTGTAGCCCAGATGATCTTCCTCTTGCTCTCGTTTATTCATCATTCCATTCTGGGTCCAAAGTATACTTCATCAGGACAGCTTTCCTGACTCATTAGCCTTCATCAATTCCCCAGCTACAAGTTCTTGTTATAGCCTGAACCCTTCATCTCTGGGGCTAACCAGTTTATGACTACGTATTCATCTAATTATATTGATTATAGTTATAGGGTCCATTATGTTTAATATTGAATCCTAGTACATGATAAAGCATTTGGCTGGTGTTAGTACACAGTAAACGTATCTGTACTGAATAGGTTACTAGGAAAGTAAGATGAATTCATAGAACAGATAGAACTGACCCTTTAATAACATGGGCTTGAACTGCACTGGTCCACTTACATGCAGATTTCTTTCAATAAATACAATACAGTGCTATAAATATATTTTCTCTTCTTATGATTTTCTTAGTAACATTTCCTTTTCTCTAGCTTTATTGTAAGAATATAGTATATAACACATATACAAAATATGTGTTAATTGACTATAATCAGTAAGGCTTCAAGTTCAACAGTAGGCTAGGAGTAGTTAAGTTATACACAAATTTTCTACTGCATAAGGGTCAGTGCCCCAACCCCCGCATTGCTCAGGGGTAAGAGGTAAGCCAGGGGTGCCTGGGTGGCTCAGTTGGTTAAGTTTCCAACTTCAGCTCATGTCATGATCTCCCCGTTCATGGGTTCGAGCCCCACATGGGGTTCTGTGCTGATAGTTCATAGCCTGGGGCCTGTTTCAGATTCTGTGTCTCCCTTTCTGTCTACCCATCCCCTGCTTGTGCTTTCTCTCTCTCTCTCTCTCTCTCTCTCTCAAACATAAATAAACTTTAGGGACGCATGGGTTGCTCAGTCGTGATCTCAGGTTTGTGAGTTCGAGCCCCACATCTGGTTCTGTGCTGACAGCTGGGAGCCTGGAGCCTGCTTCCGATTCTGTGTCTCCCTCTCTCTCTACCCCTCCCCTGCTCATGGTCTGTCTCTCTCTCTCTTAAAAAAAAAAAATAATAAATAAGCATTAAAAAATTTTTAAAAAGAGGTAAGCCAATATATCTCTAATGTTAAACAAAGACAAAAAGAAAAACATACCATACATGGGCATAAAATGGGACACACCAATGATTGGGACACCAGGAGGGGAAGCACAATTAGATGAAGACGAGAAAGGGATACATGTAATCAGAAATCCTGCTGAGTCTCCGATCTGTCTAAAATATACTAAAGAGATAAAATCCTAATCTTAAACTGCACTAAACTGGAATAGACTTGGCTCTGAAATTTTAAAATATATCTGCTCATCAAGGTAGCTCTGAGCCCTAAAAACTTTTAGTCTGATGTTTTGTCTCATCATCAGCCTGCAACTCCGTCACTCACACACTAATATTAAAAGATGCACATATGGCAGTCTCTGGGCCGTCACCCACGGGAAAGAGCACCACCTAAAACGTATTACTTTCACAGTCTCATTTTCTTTGTTAGCACTCCAAGAATGAGGCTCCTGGATTAGAAGTGTTCTAGGTTTGAGGCTGTCTTCTGGACAGGAAGTAGTACTATTGTCAAACCCTTTGCACTCATGGCAGCTAAGAGAGTCCATTCACAGTGCAGCGTAAGAGAGAAACGGGAATAGTTTGTGGGAAAAGGAGTTCAGGCCCAGCAGCACAGCTCCGAGCCTAGAGAGGACAAACAAAGCTGCTAGAATAAAAGCAAGTTGTGTTTCTCTTGCTTGAGCCCTTAAAACCTCTTCTGTTGTGTCCAGGCCTGAAAGCTTCCAGTGATCTGACTGAGCCTCTCTAACGGGGTGCTTGCCGTTCATCTTAGGTCTCATTAAAAAAATAAGCTCATCAGCACTATAGCCTCAGGGGTCCACAAGTAACATGTTCATAGAAAAGCAGTCTTCGTGTTTACTAGTATTACAGAAAGCCCACTACACAAAACCTCAGAAATTTACACTGGCCTCAGCAAGCCGCGGTTCCAAGTGCAAACACTTGTCACAGGCGTAAGTCATTGCTAGTGATGGGCCCAAGGGCCCTAAGAAGGCTGACCTTTCACTCACCCCAGGTTATTTGAATCAGGGAACCTTTAAGGGGACACCGTTTGGAAAAGTCACAGGCACTCACGTGGGTTGAAGCTGCAGGAAAGACAGTCCCTCCAAACTAAAAAATTGTGAAACACCTACTTACTGTAAGAGACAGGATGTGGACACGTGCAAGGGTGTAGGGGTACGCTGTCGCTGTCGCAAGTGCAGGGAGAGGTTACGTCTACACTGTTGCACTGTTGCGAGTGCAGGTAGGTGGGCGTAGGCTGTCGCACATGGCGGGGGAGGGGGAGGGGGAGTACATCTGCTCTCTCGCACGTGCAGGGGGCGGTACCCTAAACTGTTGCACGTGCAAGGGGTGGAGGTACGCTGTCCCACATGGCGGGGGAGTACACCTGCGCCGTAGCACGTGCGTGGGCTGTACGCCTGCGCCTGCGCCGTCACCAAGTGCAGGGGGGCGGTACCCTACGCTGTTGCGCGTGCAGAGGGTGGAGGGAACGCCATTGTGGACGCAGAACGTGCAGGGGGTGGGTACGCCGTCAGGCAAGCGGGGATAGTCTCATAGTAGCAGCAATAATTTATAAGGAGAGTTTATTTTTTTTCTTTTTTTTTTAACAATTATTAATTTTTGAGAGTGAGACAGTTTGAGTGGGGCCAACTCACAGACCGGGAGAGCATGACCTGAGCCGGAGTCCGATGCTTCACCGACTGAGCCACCCAGGCGCACCTATGAGGTAAGTTTCTTGTTTGGTAGGTTAATTTCTGTGTACCGCAATGACTTCAGGACTTGCCCCAGGTCATACAGGTAAGGGGTGGAGTCAAAAAAATTTTAATGCAAAACCAGCACTTAATAATCTCCGAGCCTCCCCTTTTGCTACACAAGTGTATATTGCCTCTTAACATAAATACAGTTTTTAAGAAAAGTCGCTTTGAGAGTCTCATCCCAAACTAGGCAGGTGGAGTACTGCAAAGACGGCAGAGGGCCAGCTGACCTGGGTTAGAGTTCAGTGTCTGCTGTTGTGTCATGCTGAGTTACCAGCTGGGCCAGTCTCTTCATTGGGGATTAGGTTGGCTGCCCTGCTGGAGGATAACTTTGAACACAAGTTATGCATCAAGCAACCAATATGTCAAGAACCAAGAAGAAATAATGTTCCACAAGGGTAGGCACAGCAGGAAGAAAATCAAATTAATTTCAGTTGCTGCCAGAGGAAAAAAAGACATTTTAGCGATTGATACCAAATACTGACTGTTAGGAGACTGAGCACAAGAGCAAGTGACTTCAAGTTAAACCTGACCAGATTGATTAATAGAAACCGCCAAGTAATTGCCTGTAATAACAGCTGCCTGAAAGGCACTGGAATGTTTGTAAGGAAGTCTCAATTCCACCCAGCCCAACATTTAATAGAACCTGAAAACAAAGAATAGTGTTTGTGACTATATTAAATATATAATTACTATTTTTAATTACTTGGCATAAAGGTGGTTAATTTACATATGCTTCTTAGTTTTTTCCCTCCTCCTCACACAATAGCTACGTAATAAATGTTGAAGGATGAAATGTAAGTAAGCAAAGAGGGCAACAGGTTCATCTATTCTGTTTTGTAAGGCAAACTGAAGCCCTTTTCACTAAGACAGGAAACGTTTTTACCAGTAAAGTATAAAAGAAGACATAAATCAGTGTCTATTAACCTAACATTCACCAAAAATTTGGTAAGGTAGAAACCTCTTCTGCAAATATTTCTCTCTAAATTGAGTTTGAATTTTCACAGTTTCTGTGTGAATCAAGTGAAATAATTTTTGAATTAGTCATTACCGTAAATCATCTCCCTGTAATTAAAATGATTGGCACAGAGTTACCTATATCATAAGTCAAAATGAACTCTTCCTTCATATTCAATATGCTAGCTATATGTTAGGAGACCATCTATAAATATCTGACCTGAATCTCATTTTGAGACAGTAAGATCCTGAAGGCAGTTAGTATGGAACAAAGTGGCAAGTTCTGATTAGCGTAGGTGTTATTTTAAGGAGTCTAAATCCATTTAAGCTTGCTCCAAATGTGGGTTTGCCTTAGGAGAGACTCAGAACATATTGTGATTTTAAAGCAAGTTGGCAAACTATGGCCTAAGGGCCAGATGCAGCCCCCTTCACCTGTTTTTATAATGTTTTATTGGATCACAATGACATTCATTTGTTTACAAAGTATTTATGTCTGCTTTCAAGCTACAAGAGTGGAATTGAGTTGTTTGACACTTGTTCAATGCTGAACGTGTGTACTATCCGGTGCTTTACAAAAAAAGTTTGTCCACTCCTGCTCTAAACTATGCCCAATTCTTCAAATATTATCACATTAAACCAAATCAAATAAAAAATGTTTATTAAGGCCCTATTATGCGTAAACTGGCATCCTCACCTCTCACTGAGTAATCCCAGTCAGAATCTTTCTCAGGAACATCCATTAACAGGGTTAGAAATAATGTGGTTGGGACACCTGGGTGGCTAAGTCAGTTGAGCATCTGACTTTGGCTCAGGTCGTAATCTCATAGTTCGTGGGTTCGAGCCCTGCATCAGGCTCTGTGTTGACAGCTAGCTCAAAGCCTGGAGCCTGCTTCGGATTCTGTGTCTCTCTCGCTCTCTCGCTCGCTCTCTCTCAGAAATAAATAAAACATTAAAAAATTAAAAAAAAAAAAAAGAAATAATGTAGTTGGCTACTTGCATAGTCCAGAAGAGTTCCAGGGTTATGGCCAATGCCAGTCTTTTTCAAGCAGCATATATGGACTCCTGACCCTCTCCCATGGCTCTCTTCTCGGTGTTTTGGGTAACATAGGACGTATGAGGCCCAGATCGTGCTATGACACAGCTGACCTTCTGCCGGGATAAAATATAGACTAGTTCTATAAGAAACTAATGTCTGAAAGATTTAAATTTTACAGTGAGCCTTGACAACCTGTTCAGACTTTCAAGTCTCTTAGGCTTAAAAAGAAAAACAAAAGCTATTAATTTTTCTGGCTTGGCAGCGATTCTTTGTTTACAGTTATACGAAGGCATTCCTACTTAAATCCTTTTAATACTGTGTTATTAATAAAAATATAAAGAAACATATAAACAATTATTATATGTGACATCAAGAGAGCATACAAATGTGTTTGTATCAATCTATCAGAAAAAGTCCCAGAAGTGAGATGCGAAGATGACAGAAAACCTTGGCACATTGAGATCAATAGAGTGATCACTGGGCACATTTCTTCCCTAGTGCACTGCACACGTCAGTATATGAAGCCCTAGAATCATTGCTTTTTGGATGATACTATTATTACGAGGAAATTGGTTACAACTAAGCAGGACATGACCACTACTTCATTTGATGTGTGTCAATGTGCTATGACCACATTTCTCAATAATATGTTGATTGCACATTTATGAGAAGATAAGGCTTCTTGTTAGTTTTCTCAGAGAAGAGAAACAGACATTTAAAACTTGGCAAGTTTTCTGGCAGTAAGTATTCTACAAGGGTTCATGACATTTCCATGAAGCTGTCTATAACACATCACCTTCAACCTCTTTGACACTATCTACACCAAAACATCCCAAAGGCAGTCAGAGGTGAAGGCTCTGGAGTCTAATTAACCTGGAAGTGTCAAGTTTTCAAATTCACTCCAGCCTGAAGATTCTAGGAAATTTCATATGTTCATTAATTCAACAAATATTTATCAAGTTTAAGGCAAAGTTAAGGATATAAAAATGAGCAAGAATAGGTTCTTGCCTTCAAGCACCTCAAAATATATCTGTGTCATAAGAGAGTGTTAGTTTGAGGCGTAAGTGGGCTGGAAAATCCCTAACAAAAATTATTCGAGCTTTTCTGTAGTAAATCAAATCTAGCCTATCAGAAAATTGTTTCCTAAGTAAAAAGGATTTTGCTAGAAGGAAAGAGATTATATGCTGTTTTGAAATGGTTGTATTTTTTTAACCTACCTTCCTGTTACACTCAAGTTTTAAAATTTCACACAATAAGTTTCTTACTGATTTAAAGCAGTTCATCATGTATAAGAATTTAACACTTTAAAAAAATGAAGCTACTAATAACCTTCGATAATCATGAAAGATCAAAGCTTTTAAAAATAGTAATGTTGTGTCTATTGTGTTATTTAAAGACAGAAAGGGAAAAGCAAACAAAAGCTCCTACATGCAATTGGATGCTGGAACAGAAAAAGGTTATTATTACTAGGGAAATCTGAATAAAGTCCGTAGTTTAATTAATTGTATTGTAGCAATGTCAGTTTCTTAGGTGTGATGAATGTACCAAAATTAAATAAATTGTTAACGTTAGGAAACTGGGTGATGTTGCATATGGGAACTCTATTTTTGCATCTCCTCTGTAAAACTAAAATTATTTAAAACAACTATTAAAGAATAATGCATATCTCAAATTATTGTTCAAAGCTATTTTGCTTTCCTCATATCTTGGTATAGACGTGAGAGAATTCAGACAGGAGCATTTGAAATTGTCCGGATAGGAAAAAGTAAGTCCTGATAATACCATATCTAAATAAGAGCACAGAAATAAAGGTTTCCAGTGGCTCTTTCAAATGTGAAATGTACCTCTTTGCTATGAGATTTAGAGGCAAAAGTATATAACTATGAAAGTAGAGCCAGAAGGATCCTTAGGTTTATTCCAGTTCTTCTCAGTTTATCCATCAATAGCTCCCTTAAGGACAGAGTGTTAATGTGCACTACAGAGGGTATGGAGGTTTGCCAGCAGTGACACAATTACAAATAGAAACTATCTTCACAGTGTCAGGTTTAACTTCAAAACTTCTCGCAGTACATTATGTTTCATATTATTTATTTCTGTGATTGTGTTTCCAAAGTTCTCATAAAATTGATGCTCAAAACAAAAACTTCTCGTGTTTGAGTAGGGTATGACTTAATCTTTCACACAACACTATGAAATTTGGTAAGGGGTGGGAACAGGGAGAAAGGGTGGGCTGTAATTTGAAAATGACAGAGATCTTGGCCTAATAAACATCTTGAGCAAACTGCATCAACTCTGTCAACTGAATTAAGATCAGCCACCACTGCTGGAGGGGGTGGGAAGGGGAGTAGGAAGTGAGCACTCTCACTTTCTGGCCTCACTCAGGGAAGCTTTCAGCCCAGAAAGTTTCTGGGGAACTTTCCCATTTTTATGTTCCCTGTCT